AATAAAAAATGTAAGTATTTTAAATTTTTTTAAAAATTTACTATATTCTTATTGATTTTTCATTATTTAGATGCTTGAAAACAATCCAAATATTATGAATTCCAAGTTATATACTTTAACAAATAATAGGAATTTTTGGGCAAATGTTGATTCTTTAGCTAAAATTTTATTACTAGCCAAAAATGCAATCAAAATGATTGAATACAACTCGACATCTATGGTTGATGTTTTTTTAGCTTTAATTCAAATGACAGTAGCAATTAATTTATTATTACTTGAAGATACTTCTGAACGTATTGAATTTAGAAAACAATGCATTATATATTACAACAAATTATGGCAAGAATTCGATATCAATCTTTATCTTTTAGTCTATTTTTTACATCCAAAGTACCGTAGCAAAGGTTTAATTTCAGAAATCTTTTATAAGATTTTAAAAAAAGCCTTAGAAATTTGGAAACTTTTAGAAGGTGGTTCAAATAGTACATCAATTCTAGTTGCACAAATGTGCAGTTATAATGCATTTAAATTACCTTATAATACAAAATTTGAAGAAACAATAGAAACTCCACAAACTTGATGGATTGGATGCAAGCAATCAAAATATTATTTACAAAGACTTGCATTACATCTTTTGGCAATTACTCCATACAGTGGTGATTGCGAAAGAGTTTTTTCTATTTTGAATTGGATGACACAAAAAAGACGAAATAGGTAAATAAATTTTTATTTAATTTATTTTTTAACAATATTTAACTTTTTTTTTTTTAAGACTAACAGTTAAGAAGATATCAAATATGGCAAAATTATATTCTTATTATGTGACAAATGCACGTGAAGAATTAAATTATACCGAGCACAAATTAAATGATAATGAATTCGAACAAATAATGCAAAATTATGTTGCTACTATTATATCCAATGATAATATGTTTGACGAAGATTTGGAAAGTGAGAAAGAAAATACTAATTTAGAAGATAGCGATATTATAAATTTAACAAATATTGATGATAAAAATTTAGATATTAGAAATACTATTAATTTAGATTATGCTTTGTACGAAGATGATTCAAATATTGCAGCAAATTAAGAGATTAATGATCATGGCGATCCAAATTTTGATATTGATACAATTATTGACTTACAATAATTATAGCGATATAAAATTTTGTATTAGAATAAATAATTTTGCTAATTACTGTATATGCTATATATTAATATATATGCCAATAATACTTTACTGAAAGTGATCATTTTTTAATAATGTAGTAGCAATGTGGTAGCATTATAGTAGCAATATAGTAGTGGTGTTATTTTTTTAAAAAAATAGTAGTGTAGCAGTAGCAATTTAAATAT